TTTAGAATGTCAGACAACCAAGCTTTGAAATTAATAGATTTGAAAAAAATTGACTTTTTTAGTTTTAAAGCACATAATAGCTACGATCCTGGAAAAAAATAGAAAAGTAACATATTTGCTCGTGCATATTATTTCTCCTACGTATTGTTTACTTATTTTGATCATTTAATAATATTTCAGCAATATATTTTGTCTTTGTGATTATTGTCCAAGTTGTAGGCTATTTCTTCACTGGCAGACAGGTTCTCCTGTGATTGATCTTCCTCCGTTGCTCCCTGTGAGTACCAATCTTTTTGCTTGCCGTTTCAGTTTTTGCATTTTTACTCCTTAATTATTGTCTAAGTATAGACCAATACTTTCGTAATGTCTCATTGTCTGACCAGGTGCACTTACACACTTATCTCCTGATGCACAGTTGTCTGACAAATGTGCTGCTTCCTCATGATGAGCTCAGTTTTAACTTTCCGTTGTGTTGTTAATTTATGTTTCCTTTTTAAATGTCGTTTTGTTATGCACTACTGGGCCACCATATAGCACAATTTTTCATTAGGAAATACGTACCTCTGGACAACGTTTAGTCACAGAAGCGTTTCTATGTTACGTAAGCAATCGTGCCATGTGACGTAAGACGTAAGACGTAATGTTCCCGTGACGTTAGATACTAGGCGCACCGAGAGAGCGTTCTTTGCCCATTCTCGTTGTTCAGGTTGCTATGGATCTGAGAGAGAAAGAGAGAGCGAGAGAGAGAGAGAGAGAGAGATGCATAAAGGGAAATAATAAGACTAAGATAGTTAGAAAAATAACTATAAAAACTATATAACAGCTATAAAAAGCACTATGAAACAAGCGCTAAAAAGCGAGTTTCGGTTATGCCTTTGTCACGTGCTTTTTATATGCTAGCAACAGCAGCCAACTCGGTACATAGCCAACATAGGCTAGATCAATAATGCACAATCTTTGGGACGTTCCTGTTATATTCAAGAATGTGTGCTCTTAAACATGAATTAATATTAATACTATATTAATTAACATCATTAATAAACATCATCCCGCTTTCGTTTAGTAGCTTACTTCTTTGATAATGTATTGTTAGCGAATTATTCTTAATTATTCTCTTATTATATAAGATAATTCTCTATTATTATTTATTTTTTTATTTTTTTATTAGTAAACACTTGCTTAGGAAAATACAAACGTGAAAAAACATGCGCCACAGAAAAGAGCCAGGGGTTCAATGATGGCCAAACAATGCATAGCAATTCAAATTCAAAAGAGAGAGAGAGAGAGATTAAAAATAAAAAAATAAATGAGAAAAATAAATAAATAAGCAGATCACGTAACAATAAACATAACAATCTTTCCTACAAAACATAAATTCATATTATTAAATAAAAATGACACAAACTCACCCAAAAATTGAGTACACATTAAACGTTTTAGTTGCCTTTTTGTTTCAGGAGGTAGACATATGTGACCCTGCACCACAAAACCAGTCATAAGGGTACATTTTTTGAAATTGAGATTTATACATCATCTGAAAGCTGAATACAGTAAATAGGATTATGGTTTGATGTATGGTTTGTTCGGATAGGACAATATCTGGCCGAGATACAACTATTTGAAAATCTGGAATCTGAGGGAGCAAATATGTCAAAATAGGCCTATTGAGTATAACATATTGATATTTACGGTTGGAAATTTACAAAATATCTTCATGGAACATGATCTTTACTTAATATCCTAATGATTTTTGGCTTAAAAGAAAAATCGATAATTTTGACACAAACAATCTATTTTTGGCTATTGCTACAAATAAACCCGTAGTAGTTATGACTGGTTTTGTGGTCAAGGGTCACATTATAATTCTCTATTACAGATCAGTGACAAGTGAAACTATGACAACCAGGACAGGCGGAGTTTAAGATAAATAAAAATGGCGGTGTTCATCTCAGAGTTCATCAGGTGTGATCGGGACAGGATCTCTGCTGTTGATCTCAGACCGCTTCCCCGACATACAACAGAGGACAGCATCTCAAAGTTCATCTGGTGTGATTCAGGGGTTTACAGAGGATTTACCTGTTACCAACGGCCGTGGACCGTGATATGAACCTGGAAGTGTTGTGCCTGTCTCTCCTTCTTTTTGAAGCCTCCTGTTTCAGTGAGTATTTCTGATAAATTTTTCAAACTATAATAAAATCTTAAAATAATCTTTAAGGAGCCGCTCAAAAAAGTCCAAATTATTCAGCCAATATTTACAGAGTTTTATATTCATAGAGGTGAAACTATACAAACGATTACAACATTATTCTGATATTATTATCTATTATAAGACTCCAAAACAGGGCTAAACGCATTGGGCTTCTCAAAATAACATAATGAAGTAGTCAAGTGGCTCAGCATGCCACAGCTTAGGGATAACTTTAACTTTTTTTTTTTCCAAAAGATTTGTTCATTTCTGAATGTTGTAACGTTAGGTGGAAATAAAATAAGTCTTAAGAGGAAAGGCTGTAATATGTTAACACTGAAACGGAAAAAACTGCTTATAAGTTTTTGATTAAATTCTGATTATAACTTAGGCGCTTTCTCTGAACAATAACAGAAGCAAACCCTTCTGTTACAGCACAGATACTGTGTTCTGCCTTTATAGGGTAGCATAACGACAATGTTTTATATTCATAGCAGTTTAAAAGGGATACCCTAAGATACATAGGCTACAAGGTACATATGTGTACCTTATTTGCCTCAAATGGTACATGAATCCCTTAAAGGTACTTATTAGTACTTTAAAAATAAATGTGAAGTTTTAGTACATTTTAAAAGGTTACCCCACCCCAGTGACAGTTTTGTTTTTCTTTCCCAAGAGTAAACAGAAAAGGGTTTTAAAAAATGGAATTAAAATGATCATAATATGATCACAAACTTATGTTGAGTTTCAGTAGAACTTAAAATTCTTTAACTTACTGAAATGCTTAGAGACATATTAGAACTAACAGATCTTTTCCTGGACTGATCAATAAATCAAGCAAAACTGAGACTGTTCAGCATTCCTATCATCTTACTAATAATAACGATTATCCATTCCTTGTTCTGCCAGATTTGTGGTGTAGGTGGCATAGGAGTTTTTCATAACTCATGCATAAGGACATAAGGAAACAGAGTTTCAGTGTGGTTCAGCCCCACCTATTTCATTCATACTTGCCAAGAAATAGCATTACAGCCTCAACAGCTAGATCATTACACTGTTCCTCATAAAGGTTTATAAATACAACTAAAATATTTATTTAAATTATATAAACACTGAAATAATAATCTCATCAACCAAGTAATGAGTGATTATGGTAATTAAATGTTCATGTTTTTCTCTCCTTCACTTTCCAGCTGAGTTTGAGATTACTGTTCCCAGAAACACTGTCACTGGGTTTTACGGTGAGTCGCTGATCCTCCCCTGCACATTCTCTGTGGACAGCTCATGGGATCTGAAAAGCACCGTTATCACCTGGCAGCGTGGACTGGATGTTGTTCACAGCTTCTACTACAGTCAGGACCAGCTCGACCGCCAGCATCTGCATTTTGTCAACCGCACCAGTCTGTTCATTCAGGAGATGGCAGGAGGAAACGCATCACTCAAACTGGACAAAGTCACTCTTCAGGACGCCGGTGTGTACACCTGCTCCGTCAGCACAAACACTGGCAGCCAGAAGAAGAGCTTTGGAGTGAAAATTGCAGGTAACAAAGCAACATGGACCGATGTTATTAGAAAATCATGTAAATCAATTTCAGTCTCAGAATATGATTGAATTGCCCTTGGTTTTAATGCCTTTTTTTCTGTTGTGTTTTACAGCATTCTACTCTGAACCTCGTCTGCAGTTCTCATTGTTAACTGATGGAGTGGATCTTCTGGTGACCTCAGATGGGGGTTACCCTTCTCCTACACTGCAGTGGCTGATGGAGAACTCAGACATCACTAACCAGACACAAACACACATCACGCAGGACACACAGACAGGACTTTATGTTGTTTCTAGTTGGATAAATCTCACCGACGTGTCAAATTCCTCTTTGACGTTCATACTGCACAACAATCCCCTGGGACAAGACATCAGGAGAGAGATCCACCTCTACTCAGGTAAGGACTTTCAAAAACAGAAGTAATTTTTAAATGCTCTTGAATCATCAATAAAATGTAAGTGTTTAACTGATTTTTAGTTTCTTTTCATTCAATTTCCTTGTACAGATAAGAGTGAGAGGCAAGGAGAGTCAGCATACAGATGTAATGGGTGCTTCATATATATCCCAGTTATTCTGCTGCTGATCGTGATGAGTGTATCGTTTGTGTTCATTATAAGAAGAAGAAGAAGAAGAAGAAGAAGAAGAAGAAGAAGAGAACAGACAAAACAAAATGGCTTTACGGAAATGAAATCCATATTCTTAATGGAAAATGTTTAATACGTCCATAATGGTTATGTTACAAAACCACTTCAACTAACAGTTATCCTATTCATGAAATTTATGAAACATGTTCTGTGATTTGCAAGACCGACAACAGCATTATATATATTTTTATATTGTTTACAGTTAAATACACTATATACATATATATGATGAAAGGTTTTGATCCACTTCAAATGTTGACTATATGTATATATTTATTTGATGTTATTTCCTAACCTTGGCAGCTTTTAACAAATAGTATTTAGTTTATTAGTTACATGCCCTGATCCTTTACATTACTGTATGTAACAGTTCAAACAATCATTCTAGTGCTTTATAAAACAGATAATTGTAGTGTCTCTCCCACCTGAACTAACCAGAGGCCAGTTGCATGAATATAGCCATGTAATGACTGTCTTAAAAACTAGGTTGACCAACTACCAGTTAGCCAGAGTAACCAGTCTTGCGTTTCAATTCAAATTAGAGCAATATACAGTATACCTTTTTGACTGATTTAAAAAAAAGTTATAACCAGTCTAGATTCTAGAATAAAAAAAAATTACTTTATATATACACAATTATAAACTTTTTAAGACTAGTCTGAACAGTTTATGCAACTGGCCCCTGGATTTTTTTGGTGCTAAAGTCTTAACAGACCCAGAATTTTGTCACTTATAACATGTTATGTGCAGCATTGTTAATTTTCTACTGTGCAATATTCAATATTGAGATCATTTACTTTACTTTTACCTGATGGCAGAGTGACATTGCAGTAAATTAACAATGTTTGCTAAACTGTTTGTCAAAAATGGAATTTTACTAAATCATTTTTTAGACTGGTTTTTAAAACTGTATTGCGATTTCAATTAGTATGGACTGTGTAAAACCACTAATGATATTAATGATTTTAATATTCCAAATGTTCTATTCAGAATGGTCATACTTGCATCCGTAATAGGTGTATCTTATTACATTAAGAAAACACTGCAGAAAAATAAAATACATACTTGCAAAGTATCTCACTAGTGTTGTTTCACAGATCATGACTGTACATGTAGCTTTTTTCTTTTAAAAAATCATGTCAGTGCGAACGGAAACCAAATAATCAGGAGGAATTGTGGCAGAAATAATGGCAGTACACACAATCACTTCATTCAAATTCACAACCATTACAGTGCTGTGGAGATTATCACACACATGAAAAGGCCAGTGGGAGTGAGGAACACAATGTCTTTTTATATCCCCAACTGACGTGATGTGAATAGGCGTTGCATTGAATGACAAAAGTTAGCCTGATTTTACCCAAAGGTCTTGAAATTTCATTGTACAGACAGCAAGACCAAACATGTGCCCATGAAGACCCATAATGACATTAGATATGAACAGCTTCTCCTAAAGATTACAATTAACAGAATATTCTGATTCAAGTTAAAAAAGGCTTTGTTTAAGCAAAAAATAAAAAAGGCATTACCATGGAAACCAGGAAACCATGTAACAAAAGTAATTTAATATCTCTCAATACATGGATTATCAATCAAGAAAAGGATTTCCTGCAATACCAGTTTGAATTTGAGTTACCAGTTTGAGTTTATTTGTAAAAAAAAAAGTAATTTTGAATTAAATTCCTTCTGAAAAATAATAATCATCTGAGTCATGTGCAAGGTCTAGTTTTCTTACAACACCCTGCTCTATCAGCTCATCAGATCCAAGTGAAAACTCTGGTTTCTCCTCAAATGGTGAAATTAACAGGAAGCCCAACCCTTCCTTTTTATTTTCAGAAGAATTCTTTTCCTCGGAGATGAATGATGGCAGAAACACCTCATCCAGTTGCCTGTCTCCCATTATTGATTCATCCATATCAAGATGTTCCTCCATGGTTTCATTGACCATAACTGAAGTCTCTGTGGAACCTTTGTCCTCCTGAAGAACTTTTTCCACTCTCTGACCATTCTTCGGTGAGCAATTTGAACCCTTTGTCATGTTCTGCATTTTCCTGTCTCCAGACCAATCCAAGGATGCAACGTCAAGCTGCTTCATAGGGTCTAAATCTGGCCTTTCAGATCCTGCAATACTCTTACTGATTGCCATAAAAATCTCCACATCCCCATGTTTCTCTTCCTCCATCTCTTTCCTGTCCTCTATGAACTCCACTGTGCTGGTGTTAGATGTGTGCGGTCTCTTATCATGGTCCTCCTCAGAAGATATCAGGGTAACAGAGGCAACAAAGTCCTTGTGGGTGTAGGACCTCTGGGGCTCTTTGGCCAGTTTGGCTTCAAACCAGATAACATCATCATTTCTATGAGCCATGGGAATGGATTCCAGAGTTGAGGAAGGCAAAGTTGAGAAAGGAGAAGTCACAGGATAAGAGAAGAGCACTTGATCACTGCTTACAAACCCTAATGCACAGAAAAAAGAGAGCAGAGGTCAAGACCTTCATTTTCTCCATGAACTTTATTATGCAGCTGAGAGAGAGCTGTTGTTTCCTGTGAACTAATTTCACCATTTTAACCTAAAACCTAAAAACCTAACATTTTATTAAATACTAATCCATGTTTTAAAGCTACAACCTTACACCTATAAATATATAGGAAATGCTGAATAATTTGAGACCAAAATAATACAGTTAATGAAGGAACAAGAAAAGATCAGCCGATGACATATTTGTGCACTAATGACCAAATCTACTTATTGTTAATTTAAACTGCTAAAAATCCTTTTCAGTAATTAATATAAAGTTTGAAAACAAAAATGTTAGTCAGAAAAGCGTAAACTTAGTTAGAATAGAAATATAAAAAACACTAATAAAATGACAAATGCACATAAAATTACTAAAAATAAAAATAAAATAAACGGAAAATATAAAAATAAAAACTAATCTAAAGCATTAAAAGTAATTTAAAAAGTTTTACATTTAAAAAGTATTATATAATAAAAAAAAACATTGTGTTTGGCACTTGTATTTGTATTTATTTTGCCTTGTAATATATATTCTTCAATATTTCTTCTGTGGATATCATGTGCAGGTTTTTTGTCTTTCCTTTAATTTGACTTTTAGCTGATACACCAAATTAACATGGATATACACAGGTTTTTTTGGTGCAGTCATCTGATAAGGTCTTTTTTGACCAGCATAGTAAGAAATAAAGTGATGATCCAATATTGCAAAGGTGTGACTACTACTATTGGATTTATGTTTGATGATTTACTTGCCTTCATGTGTTATTCGTTTGGTTTTGGTCTGGTTGCAGACTGAATCACAGCAGTCACAGATAGAATCTTGACCAAACACAGAGATCCATCTAACAAATGAAAAGTTTTAGTAGAACAATTGTGGTAAAAGAGGTTTTGTTTATGATAGAAAAAAAGTTATTCATGATCTTTACAACACCCAGCGACAGATGTTTAGTCTTGTTAACCTTTTATCGGTGTGGCCGTAAAAACAAGACTTCTGCATTGGACTAGGTCCACCACCAGAAACAGAGAGCTCACAATGGAGTGCGATCTACAATAAATCACACAGAGAACTTAATGAATCACACAAAGAATGAATGCAACACAATGCACAGTACAGCACAGTTTTGTCTTCATAAATATGTCAACCGTGAGAAAAGAATCAACACAAACACACCTGGGCATCTGGAGCCTCAATGAACTGGAAAGCACCAAAGGAGAACTGAACAACATTGTCTGCCCTGGAGAACCTGAATCTTGAAGCACCTGGATTTATCCAGCTTTCCCGTAAACACCTGGATGTGTGTGAGACAGTGTTTTGTGTCTGATAAATGTTCCACAAAGTCAGTGTTTTGCTCCACTCACCCATAATTGTCTATGATGCTGTGTTTGGATGCTTGACTCAAAGTGTTGACTGTAGCTGCATAACAGCTGTTGATAAAAAGCTTGACCCCTTGGTAATGATGTCGCGTGGAGACCTGCACATTCACCTGCTGACCCAGCAGGTACACAGCAGACCTGACTGGAGAAGACCAGGAGTCTACGGTATAGATACATGAGACCATCAGCATCCTTTTACAGTGCTTGGTTTACAGATTAAATCAGGGTTTGGTCAAAAACATATTTGAGTGTGGGAATGTATAAAAAGCTTCTGGGCAAGTTACAACATGCATTGTAATGGCACAGTCTTTGGAATGCAACTCTTCTAATCTCCCTTAGGATTCCCTGCTTATATATTAGAGTTGATCCATGAAGTGCCTGCCTGTTATTTCAACTGCTTGCCTTTTTAACCTAACGCAACTGACAACACAATTCAAATATTGGCTTTGTTTAGTAAAGTTCATATTCATAGATATTTTTCAAAAACCCATATGACCTGCTCTTTAATGTTTCTTTTGCAGTTTATAACGTAGCTATCCTTAAATGAAAACAATGTGCAAAGTTGTTAATCAAAAAGTACATGATAAATAAAGATATTGTCTCTCAAAAGAGAGAGTCGATTCTGAATCGCCTTAACGAGTCGTCATTTTTTCGAATCTTTTGCCTGTTACCGGTATACGTCACTGGGTAACAACTTTGCATAATCCCCGTCTGCCCACGAATCTGACCTGCCCACAAACACTTCCGCTAGTTAGTGTGTTTACATCATGTTGAGAAGACGCTGTGTTCAAGGATACCACAGAAAAACAATTCGAACCTTTTGTTGTGTGCATGTCATTTTACCAAGGACTGCTTCTCTAATCTTGGCTTTTATCTTCCTTGGCTTCTAATCTTCTTTATTTGGACTAACAAGCTCTCCGAAGCACAACCTGTAAGTACGATTGATACAAATGTTATGTGTACATTTTCAATTGAGTGCTCAAAATATATAGTTTTTGTGCTAATATGTGATGTACACCTAGTGCAGCTTTAGGTTTCCAGGTAAAGCACGATATTACTGTCCTACTGAAGTAGTTCTGATAATTCGCTGTGAACCCACTATTTCCTAAGAATTTTTGTATTTTATGCCATTATTATAAGAACGGATTGGAGCACTATATTATTGTTTTATGTAAAGGTGCTTTGTCAATGGTAGCGCTCGCTAACTTGCTCAAGGACTCCTCTCTGTGCCAATCACAACAGGCTTGGCCAGCTGACCAATCAGAGCAGAGTAGGCTTATGGAAGGGAGGGGTTTGGCAAATTACTCTAATATTAAATGTATATTCTGAGAAAATTTCAATGTTTTCTGACCTTTAGATGCATTTAAACCTGTTGTAGGGGACTCAAACACAATATTAGGACACTTTAAAATACCATATGACCTGCTCTTGAAACTATTCTATATGATTTTAAAACTTTTTATATAATTATACAATGATATAACTGGCAAGAAATCTCTGTAGAAATCTCTGTTGTGTTGAAGATATGTGATGTTTATCGGTCAAGTGCAGACTGGAAAATGTGTGATATAAGACTGTTATTGCATAATGATAATGTGTTCCTTTCTATAATATGGTGTATTTGTTCATAAAAATACAGCTTGCCGTGTGACCCGTGGTCTTACCATCCATCAGCTGGATCCAAAAGTCACCAGATCTGCTCCTGATAAGTTTGCGCAATAGGGTCCGAGATGTGGGACTCACCACCAGACTGTGCACATGGCGCTCCCTAAATAATAAACAGAACAGTGTTGTTCCTCATCCTGAACTGTAAACACACAATTAGCTAGGACCTTACCTCTTACATAACATAATAATTTTGTGATTGTACCTTGGTCAACACATTTTGTGACAAATCAATGTGCTAAAAGATTGAACAACTATTTTACTATTGCAGTGCTGCAGCAATGATGTCAAACCCCAGAAGACTAAATTCGCCATGGGTTCCCTGGAGATTTTATGAATTTTTGTTATTGTATTTTCATGAGTAAAATAAAGTCTGTGGTATACATAATTTATACTTGTACGTTTTGTTGTACAACATAAACTGCACACATTCACATCCCAAACATTTTTAATGTAGTTTTTACCAGAGCTGGGTAGATTGCTTACAAATTGTAGTCTGTTACTGATTCCAAATTACATTACAATAATTGTAGTTAGTAATGTAATTCATTACAGTACACATTTTAGGTAATATAATCAGACTACTTTTAGGAGCTTGTAAATTAACTGCAGTGGGTTTAGAGTTTAATGAAAAGCTAATAATTAAATAATAAAAAGTTAAAATTTAATTAAGTCATTTTAAAACAACATCAATCAAAATAAAACACTTACTAAAATAATAAATTATTTTAATTTGTTTAGCTGCATATCATGTGACCATTAACCAATGTCAGACAACCGTGACCATACACGTGATACTTAATTATTCAAATAATTTGTTTTATTTAATTTGTGTATTTTAATGTGTTTAAAAGACAAAAGCTTTTCAAAGCTATAGTAATACAAGGTTAAATAACCTAGTGAGTGATGATTCAAATAAAAATGTGTTCATCAGTAGTTGATGCAATGTTGAAACACTTCTAAACCTGAAATTACTTTTGTAATTTTGAACACAGAGCCGTAGTTCACTGACAAGCTACACAAAATCGAGGTCATTGCCGATTTTGAATGCGATTTTGTGTACCTTGACTGTGAACTATGGCTCTGTGTAGTAAATGCCGCCCCATCTGAAAGCACGTGCTGGAGATTTACTACTAATCACAGGAGCGGCTTTACTGACGAGATACGCATGAAAATCGCATTCGATTTTTTGCACAGCCATATTTAAAAGTTTAAAAATAGGTGATTTGATAAATTTGGAATCATTTATTGCTGTTGTGTGAATAATATGTAATCATGTAGGCTAATGAGTAAAAAAAAGTAACTCGTCTGATGACAAGTATTTTAAAGGGGTCATATGATGCGATTTCAATTTTTCCTTTCTCTTTGGAGTGTTACAAGCTCTTGGTGCATAAAGAAGATCTGTAAAGTTGCAAAGACTAAAGTCTCAAATCCAAAGAGATATTCTTTTTAAAAGTTAAGAGTCAACCACACCTACCTAAAATAGCTCATTCTAACACGCAAATAAACCAATATCCCGAGTTATTCAGTTACTCCTAACTAGGGATGCACCGATACCGATATCGGTATCGGGCCGATACTGAGCTCCTGTACTCGTACTCTAAAATGCCCCGATACCAAACGCCGATACCACGCAGCATGTGTTAAGTGCCATATTCAGACAATGAAACACCGACAACAGAACAACAGAGAGCAGAATGGAGGCGGCGCAGTTGCGCGAGCTTGTCGAGTGAATATACCCTTCTCACAGACATCACTGGAAAGTTTGTAGTTCGGGCGGATATGTAAAAAACAAGTAAATAAAACAATGCACAAGTTACTTAATGGTGGGGGGAGAGAGAGCGCAATTCTGTTGTGTGATCTTTGATGTTCACTCACTTAGCACACGCATCATTTGGATTAAAACTAATTACAGTACTAAGCCGCTGCAATGGAGCATCTCCAATGCTGTTAAATTAAAGATGATGTACCATAGAGCAAAAAAAAAATATTTACAGTGAAAGTAACAAAAACTTGTAAAATACATTTTAATGGGCATAATTAAGTGTGAAAATAACCGAAGGATATACAG